GATGTCAAATGATGTTGTTTTACTTGCTAATACTTCCTCCGTCGTCACAACGATAAACTTGTTTCCATTTTTACATTGATTAAGAAAATATAATTAATATAGTTCTTACATTTTTTGTAATACTCTTCTATATTAAATAATGGTTTAAATAAGAATATGGTAAAAAATGAAGAAATCAATTATGCCCTTAACAAGGAAAGTTACCTATAATTTGAAATAGACAAAAAGGGAAAACAAGTTTACTTTTTATAGGACGATGTAGTAGTTTTTTTTTATGAAGTTTGGGATATCCTTATATATTTTCCATTTCCATCAAGTTGGACTAACGTTTTGGTGTTCCCATGCTTTGTACGTACTTCCAAATATCTCTATAATTGTCTCATGAGAATCCCATTTACATATTTGGCTCATGTTAGGCGGAGTTTAAAAAATTGAAAAAAATTTATGTTAAAGTCAATAATCAATTATATCTACACACTTTATAGGATGCATACATTTTTATTTTTTATTTTTTATCAAATTTTTTACTATATATTTCGTTGTTGTTGTTATTGTTAACCAAAATCTAGATTTTTAGCTACACCAAATAGGAGTTTGCTATATAGAAAAAGATGATAAAATTTAATTTTTTTCCATCCTTAATCTTGTTAAGTGTCATTTATAAGTTGTATTTAATCAAGACTTTTACAGAAATTTTTTAAGTGACGAAAGATTGTGGAGTACGTCAAATGTTATAGGTTTGACTTATGAAATTAATAGAAGGTAAAGACTTCTATAGAATTCATTTGTCTTCGAAAACTTTTATTTAGAATAAAATTTACTTAAATTTAGATACATCGATAATAAATTTGCACTTAGGCTCTCTTATGGATGTTCGATTCCCACTATCCCCATCTTCATTTACCATATTCACATTGCAGTTTTTAATAACTTGATTACATTTTAATTGCATGAAACATTTATAATATTTATACATTATCACATTTATGTCTCAAATTTTTTTCGTATCATTTTTATTTTTTAATTAACATAAATTGTTCCTAATTATGGTTTCTTTCCAAAATTTTCTACAAGATAAAATAAAAAAACAATTGGTCCATCATATTTATAAATACGTAAAACAAACAACAATGCAAAAGAAAAAAAAAATATTTGACCACCATTTTAAAAGCATCGTAAATCATAATTAAGGATAAGATTTTTTAATCAACTAAATGTGAAAAATAAGAATGTGATGAAAGGTAACTGGGTTCAATGGGTGATTTGTAGGTGTGCAGAAGGAAATAATGGTGGACAAGGATCCATCGATGCCGGAGCTCAACCGGGGATCCCATGTCAAGGTCACTATTTAACTATTCTGTGTCTATATCTATGTTGTTTGCATATGCATTTTCTTGATTTCACCATTATGGACATCGTAGATTCTAACATGCTTTCTGGTTCTTTTTCAGTTTACTTTTCATTCTCATGTTCTTTTAAACAATTAAGAACCTCTAATTGCTTAATTTTTAGCTATTTATTTCGATTGATTGGAAAATTTTTGACAGTCAAATGAAAGAAGAGCATAAACCCATAGCTGTAGCAAGCTTTCAAAACCCCTATTGTTGTTCTCTCGCTCCTTCTCTGCACAGCCTATTTTTCCGATTAAAGTAAGCCTATTCTTCCATTCCGTGCCCTGATTTCAGTGCTAGACACTTATCATGATTCCACTGGCTTGCCTTGGTAAGCATTACTCTTTAATTTGTGTTGCATTTTATATGTTGAGTTTATATATATGGGCTTTGATGTATATTACTATTATTTTTCTTAAAGTTTACTACTTCTGCCGGAAAGAATACAAACTAGCATAGTACTAAGGTTGTTGCAAAATTGTTATATGTCAAAAGTTTGTATAATTTGAAGGGAATTGAAAATTCTAACCCTTTTTCGAAGTACATTTACGTTTATTTGGTATTTAAGCACTTTCGTTAGAATATTTTTCCTTTTGATTCTCCTGTTAACTATCTTTTTTTGATGCATTACCTGTGAGACTTGTAGTCTAGCTGTGAGAGCGATGTTTAGCATATTCTAATTGTTAGATATTAATTAACTAACTTTTTTTTGTAGGGGGATAGTAATTTCGTTATCCACATTGATGATAAGACTCTCGTTGTTTCCCTTAGTTGTATTGCAATTAAAAAAAAAACTGAAGAGTGTTGAGACTCGAACCTTGTTCTTTATACTCCCATAATTTTTAATTAAAAACGCGTTTTGTGGAAACTCACCTTTATAAAATGGCAACTCTTACTGGATGATGATACTTGGCTCATTACTTACCGTCGGATGAAAGCTTTGGTCCTTGGTGATATAAATAATGTTGGGACGGTTCGTTTGGTTGAAGACTTTTAATTTTTTGGTTTTTCAAGTTTGAGAGAATTCGAGAGGGTTCCTTTTTCTCTCTGTGGCTAGGGTTTTTGATTTTTGCCATTACAATTGAACTTCTCATTCTAAAGTGATTGTTAGATGTTTTAGCATTGGAATGGTGGTGTTTTTCTTGAGTGAAAATCTGTAAGAACGAGATGATTCTTATATTTTGAGTTCGTGAAGGAGATCTGTTGATTCTTGGGTGATTCTAGACAGATTTGTTGTTTTCTTGTGAAGAGATAAGTTTCTTTCTGTGTATTGTTGTATTGGTTGAACATTTGTAACATTCGTTGCCAATTTAAGGCAGTTTAGTGCAACCGCCTAATAATAAAATAATATTTATAAAAGAATTTGAAAAATCCAAGCCTCCTTTATATAGTGATAAACACTAAAACACGAAAAAATAAAAAATCTCGTAACGCTTAGTGTTAATACATGTCAAACTTTTAAAATTGAACAACTAATTAATATACAAAAAATTAATTACGAATTAGTAATTTTCTATAAAGTCTTATAAATTCAATTACAAAATGATCATTTTCATAAAAAAAAAAAGGATGAAAAGAAGAGTGAGAAAAAAGTCTTCATTTTCTTTTTAAAATTACAATATGATCTCCCTTTTTTTTCTTTTTTTTTGGGTAAAACATAGAGAGAATCCATGAAAAATAAGAGAAAAAGGGAAAGGGAGCCGATATAATCGTTAGAAGAAAAAAAAATATTAATTTTATTAATCATTAATCTAAGGTTCGTATACCGGAAAAAGAAAGAAAAGTATTGATAGGATAAAAATGCATATTAGAGGTTAATGAGAAATAAATTGTGATATTTTATTTTTATACTTTCTAAAAGGTTAGATCACAGAGAATTGACATTTTGTGAAGTCTTAAAAAAATTATATTAAATAAATTCAGACTTTTTAAATCTCAAAAAAATCTTTTAAACATTTAGATCGAATGCACTCTTCTTATTTTACTATTTCAAAGATATTAGGGTCTAGATAAAAATCAATATTTTAGTAAATTTTTATAAAAATTCATTAATGTGTGGTTAAAAAATTGTAAATTCCATAAAATAAATGATTAAAATGAATTATTAATTTTGACTTAAATTTTATTTAGCTTTTTAAGTGAAGCAAACATGGTCTATGTAAAACGAATTTGTCTAGTGGTACATAATGGGGTGTACACCATTCGGTACACCCCGCTCACATGGATGTGGGACCTATGTGAAAGAAAGAATATTTTATTTGAGTGGGTCCCTCTTCCATGTGAGTGAGATGTATACCATTAGGTACACCCCGATGTACCACTAACAAAACCGATGTAAAACTTGCAATCCATGTGAAAGTAGAACGTCTTTTGAGAGAGTAATTTTACTAATTCTGATATATTCTTCTCTAATATAATAAAATGTTATTGTGAGATTTTGGGATTTATCCAATTTTATAATGCTAATTTTAATCCAAACTATATAGGCATATGTAGTACACTCACACTACGGTACTGTATTATATAGACCAATATATTAGATTTTAATTTTGTTTTTTCTTTTTTAAAAGTTATTTGTTATCTAGTCGAGCATTCTAAACCTATGATAATATTTCGTTTTTCTTTCCTTTCTTCGTTCTCTTAATTCAAATAATCTATAAACTTTTAATTTACACGGCAAATTTTCCGAAGAACATGATACATGTTTTACATTCAATTAATTCATTAATTAGATTATGTAAGTGATGCCAAAATAATAAATTAATTTATTAAAAGTTGGATAAAATAAAACGTAATCTTCCAAATTTTACTACTACACTTAAATTCCTTATTCAATAAGCTATAAATGTAAAGAAAATACATAATAATGGTAAACCTAAATTCTTAGATATTCATACCTCCAATTTTACAAGACCCATTTAAAAGTCTTCCACTGATATAAGTATTTTTTGGAGGATTTTTTTTTTAATAGGAAATGATCATTAATTTCCTAAAATCACGATGCCACTCGATATGAACCCACTCTCAATTTCATTAGCAAGTCGAGGTACTTTTACTTCGAGTTCCTCCCTTCGTAGTAAAATATGATGAAGTTACATCAAGATCATTAGATCTTTCATTCCATCACCCCAAGAATGAAAGGGGTAATCTCGAAATTCTTATTTGACGTCAACAGAAAATTGAAGAGTAACGGCAACAAGTGATTGAGTTCAATAGTTCATTGTAAAAAATTTTAACTCTAGAGATATAGTAATATGAATAACACAAAATTGTTTCAAACACCGACAAATTGCTCCTCGATCTGTAGCCATCCATCCCATAACCCGCTTCACAATTCTTCCCTAAACCCATACATATCCAATAAAATGCGAATTAGATAAGACAGGCCCTTGTTGGTCTCATGAGAAAATTTAGATCGAGCCGCGTTCCAAAAAGCTTTTATTACACAATCGACTCTACCCGATTTTAATACCCATGACATCTAATGTGATCAAAGTCAAATTAACTATAGCACTCACTCATTGTTAAAATCACAATTCAAGTTCCTAGCCAATGTCCAAATCCATGCTTGAAGTGTCCTGAGAATTTTCAAAGAAGAGGTAAAAGATACCGAGGTACTTAATAGACCTTATTATTGGTGGGCTGTAGATAACATTTAGGATTAGTGTTGAATTACAGTCCTACTTATATAGGAATACTAATAATAACCAATTTTTCTTCAAAAAACCCACTCATATAAACCCAAATTTCTTCAGAAAATCTCCATTCTTTACCTACAGACAGAAAAAATCTCTCCACGAAGTACAGAAAGAGGCCTAAAATTGAGAATAGAGTTTTTTATCTACAAAAATTACACAGATTTTGAAAAAAACGTCAGTTAAAGTCGGCGACTAAAGGAACTAGGGTTATTCTGTTATACAGAAGATTTTCAGGGTTTATTTATTTCATTATTATTGATTTGAAGATTGAAGGCCAGTCTATTTATTGATACTTGATATATACGGACTGCTTCCTTTCGTTTTCAGAGAATTTTCCTTGCTGCTGAGGGTTCAAATATTAGGCTTTCTGGGATTTTGGGCTTCTTTGTTATTGTTGGATAGTTTGGGACTCTAGGGTTTGATTACCTCTCTGATTTTCATCTGGAATTGTTGATTTGTTGAAGAATTACCCTGTTTCGGGATGTTTTCTGCAAGGATTAGGATTAAATTTTGGTGTACTGTTTATTGAAATTTCTGTTTACTGGGATTTGTCATTCTTCTTCTTGTGGTTATCTTGAACACTACGGCCTTGACAAGCCTTTGTTAATATGGCGTCCGGGCACCAAAGAACTTACTGAGTTTAGTTTTTCCTTCACGTGATTAGAATTTTCTTGTTGACATGACAGCATTCATTGTATAGAGAGAATTCAGATTCTTTCTTTTTGAAGACTTAAGGGTTTTGGCTTAGAAAAAGGAAGATTAATTTATAGGAAATTTTGAAGTAAGTATAAATTTTGGATTAAATTTGTCCCGACCACATTTAATTTTGTTGAAGTGGGTAGGCGCCGCATTTATCAATCATCAGCACGCTCGTGGTCATCAATTCGAGGAAGCCTAGTCAGTTTTCTTTCCTTTTATTTCTTTCTATGATAATGTTTGGCACTGGTTATGGAAAGAAGTGAGCCTACATTGGTTCCAGAATGGTTGAAAAATGGTGGAAGTCAGACTGGTGGTAGCACTACCTCACATTCAGGTTTATCTTTATCATAATTTTGAAGCAATATCTTTTATTTAGTATGTTCTGCTTAATTGGCTTAATCAAGTTTTTAAATGCATCTCTTTTTTGTCAGTGGGTCATCCTGCATCAAATCTTACGAGAAACAAGTCATTCGCGCATAGTAATGGTCATGATTCAAGGCGATATTCCGGTTCTGATAGAACCACTTCGTCATATTTCCAACAGAGTTCTAGTAGTAATGGTTCTGGTCGTTTGAGGTCTTACAGTAGTTTCGGTAAAAATCAAAGGGAAAGGGACCGGGATATATATGATTCTCGTAACAAAGAAAAGCCACTTTCGGGCGACCATGAGCACCGAGATTTTTCAGATGTGTTTGGGAACATTGTGCCAAGTAAATTTGAGGGGGATAAGTTGAGTCGTTCACAGTCCATGATTTCTGGGAATCGTGGGGAGACATGGCCAAAGAAAGTTATAACAAACTTGAGTAGTGCCAGTAGAAAAAACAATGGTTTGCTTACAGAGGGCAGTCCTGTTGGCATTGCAAATAAATCAGCTTTTGAGAGGGATTTTCCATCCTTGGGAGCAGAAGAAAGACCAGCCACTCCTGAGGTTGGAAGAGTCCCATCTCCTGTCTTGAGTACTGCCATTCAGAGCTTACCCATTCCCTCCTTAACTGTGATAGGAGGTGAAAAGTGGACGTCAGCATTGGCTGAGGTGCCTGTGTTAGTCGGTAGTGATGGAATTGGCATCTCGTCTTTGCATCAATTCACTTCTTCAAAATCTTCCTCTAGCACTTTCGGGACAAGTTCTGGTCTCAACATGGCTGAAACTGTCGCTCAGAGTTCTACTCATACTCAGACTACTACTCAGGTAGTTTCAGTTCTCCCTCTGTTTTCGGGAAATGAATCAGAAAGTTATTATGCTTACATCATGTTTTTTATATTCTGTTGAAGTCATCTGGAACTCCGAGACATGAAGAAATTGCGTTCAAACAATTTAGGCCGTTAATTCCTGTGACACCATCCAAGCCGAAAACCTTGGTATGACCGATACTACCTTTGCTTTAAAGTTTGTGATAATTAGTTTATGAGCTATGATCTACTAATCTACTATCATATTTTGTGAGTGTGACATTTAGGCGTAAGGGTTTCAAAGTATTCCAATTGGTTAATAACAGAAGGAGAAAAAATGAAGCACCCACAAGATAAGAAGAAACTGTTAAGATAGAGAAAAAGTTACGGAATTTTAGATTGAGGAGTCCTCGGGTACATTTAAAGAAAATGACAGGAACATATTATGAAATCAATGAATCTTTCTAAGCACATCGCAAATATTGTAGAGCTAAAATGGAACATATTCTTGAAGCTTTAACACAAAGATGACAAAAACACAACTTTTTTCCACAAGCAATTAACATGCTGTCTGTTTCATCTTCATGTGAGAAGTATATATTCTTTCAATCCGTTCCATCAGTGTGGTAGTTAGACATCAGATTCTTAGTATTCCTAGTAACTGAAAACGGAAGGAGAAAAACAGAAAGTTATCCAAGATAAAGAAATTTGTTAATATACAGAAAGAGTTACAGAAGTAGAGGACGAGTGATGTGTACGTTTGATCTCTACAAATCAGAAAGAAAATTATCTGTGAGATAAATTTATTAGAATGGCGTGTAACGGATAAAACTATACCAGCACATGGCGTAGAGGCCACAGCTGACAAGAAACTTGCTCTGTTGCACAAGCAATGAAAATATGCTCTCTATTATGTCAAATCTAATAATAGCTTATCTTCTTCTAGTTAATAAAGAATGCTATTGATATTCTGGTCTTCTAAATTGGGAATATTTGTCTTCATACAAACTTCCAACCTGATTGTGAAAGGAGGAATAGGATTATTTCAGCATTTACTGAATAAGCATTATTTTACTTCTTTCTCCACTTTTTTGGGTCTAGTAAAAGTTATTTGGTTTAGCATTGGTGAGGTGTTAAGAGTCTCTAAATTGTTTGTTTTTAGCAGAATTTGTCGATCCAACATCTTCACTTTTTATTTTATCATCATTGTCTTCTTAAGTTCCTATCAATGAGGATTTTTACTAATATGAATGATGAATGTGAGAATTACCGACATGGGATTTTGAATGTTCCCAGTCAATAGGTGATAATGGTCATCCCCAGGACTGACCTTTACTCGTATGTCTTACCGTCTCACAACTGTTCCTTTCTTATCTTCACCAGACTCGTGGTTCATTTGCCTTTTTAGCGTATCTTGGACAAGTAAACATGTTACAGTTGGTTTTATGGTTGTCCTTGAAAACTCACTAGCCGGTAATGTATTTATCAAAATCCACAAATCTCCCCAATAACTCCTCCAACAAACAAGCCTTCAGATGTTAGAATCTGCATTCTTACCCTATAATTTATCTATACCATAAAGTCAATAAGAATGGTTCTTCTCAATTAATTTAATAAGTACTCTCGTTGATCCAGAGGCAAAATTAACAAGGGCCTCTTGAGGCCTCCATGTTTAAGAAAATCACTAGAAGAATGCCATATCTCAACAAACAGAACTTTTGATAAACAGCCCACAAAATAATTATCCTAATCTGTGCTGTAAAAATCCCAAAACATTGCGATTATTTAAGAAAAACAATCCCAGATGAAAAGCGGGGAGGTAATCAAACCCTAGACCCCCAAACCAACCAACAACAACAAAAGAATTCCAAAAATTCCAGAAAATCCTAAGATATGAAAATGAGTAGCATGGAAAAATACCGGAAAATTTTATGTATATATTAAATATTAAATGATGGATTGGCCCTCAATTTTCTGATCAGTACAAGAGAAAAAAATGCACTGAGGAAAATCTTTTGTATAAGTGAAAATCTGATTTTCCTCCTGTCACCGCATTGCAGGCAGTTGTGGTTCTGATTCGTGTCAAATTTTCTAGAGGGAAAGGTCAAATGTCCTATTCTTTCAATCCCAGGCCTCTTTGTGTACATTTTAGTAAGTGTGTGTAAGTAGAGAGAGATTTTGAATATATATGTGTGGATATTTTTAGGAAATTTGTTGTGTTTTGTGTGAAGAAAATTTGTCGTCCTTTGTTTGTTGTTAGAGGTATTCTATATGTTTTGTGGACTATGGAGTACTTCGTGTACTTTTGTGTGTGTATCGTAGCAAAGAGATATTAGTAGTTCACTTTGTCTTAGTGGTGATAAAACATTATGACTTTTGGATTTGCTATGACAGAGAGTCAAATTGAGTTTTGTTCCTATGGACAGTACAGTTTATCTGAAGTCACCCTTAAGGTAGGTTTTATGAGGTATAAATAACTTATTCTTAGTTGTTACCTAAACTTGGTTGACTTAGGTTTCGGATAAGAGGTTCATATATGATGGAGTATAGACCTTCTTTTTTACATTGATACTTGAACGTGAACATACATTTCTATGAGAGTAGGGGTCGAAACTTATTTACTTACCAGAACTTGTAGAAACACTGTAGCTGTTAGGTGGAGGAAAGAGAGAAGTAATGATTTATTTGTTTATTTGAGAAAAGAAAAAGGTGTGGGGGTAAGTGGGTTGCTGATAGTCCTGTAAATGGCAGATTTCTGAAAATGGAAAAATCTCAGGTCTTGAAGCTTTTTTTTGTGGACTGTCCAGTAGTTGACAATGACGATGACATTTTCAAGTTACCTGCGAGGACATGAATGAAAAAAGTTTCTGCAATATTTTCTTGCCCTGTGCTCTATTTGGTTTGTGCAGGAGATGTGTATTTTTCACTTTAATAAGTAAGATAGTTTAAGCAGTTTCTGACTATTACGAATTTGATTATCCTTGTTGGACAACTGTCAGTTCTTTGACACCATTCATCTGTAGATGTGTTATGAATATGGTTAATAAAGTTGAACTTCTGCTTCAGGTCTTGAATTCTTCAGATAAACAGAAAACTAAGGTTGGCAAACAGCATACACTGGCATCTTTACTTCCTGTTAGTCACTCTCCACTCGGGGTTCCTGAGAAATCTGACCTTTCAAAGACATCTAATGTGGGAAAGCTCCATGTTCTGAAGCCAGCGCGAGAGAGAAATGGTGTCTCTTCTTATGCTAATGATAAGTTGAGCCCAACAAGTGGTACCAAAATCTTGAATTCCACTCTTGTGGCTCCGGCTTCTGGATCTGCAGTGACTAGGGGCCCACCACAGAACCCAGTCCCTGCCGGTGCCAATTCCAAGCCTTTATTGGCTGTGTTGGAGAAGAGATCAACTTCTCAAGCTCAAAGTCGAAATGAATTTTTCAACCTCATGAGGAAGAAATCTTTGGCAAACTTGTCGTCCTTTACCGATCCATCCACGGCAAATCCATCAGCAGCTCACGATCCATCTATAGCAAACTCCTCGAAGGTTCCCAATCACGATTCTATCGCATCACCATCTGTTTCGGATAAGCTTGGTGAACTACGGGAGGTGATGGCTTCTAATACTCATGAGGGTCATGCCTCATCATCCGTCAGCCTGAGTGAGGGCCATTTGTCCGTGGAGAGAGGTGACTTGACATGGCAGAAATATGTTAACAATGGAAATGAAAGTTTAAGCGTGGATCCTGTATTTCCAGAAGAGGAAGAGCTTGCCCTTTTACGCTCTATGGGCTGGGAGGAAAATGCTGATGAGGGTGGTCTTACTGAAGATGAGATTAGTGCTTTCTACAGGGATAATACTAGGTAATCGATATTGATGAAATTATGTTTCATGCTTATATATCTTGGTAAATACTGATGCATTTTTTATTAATGACTTCTGTTGGTCGTGTAAACTGCAGTACATAAATCCAAGGTCATCACCGAAAATATTAGAGTACAACTGTAGTTTTTATTGCCTCTCGACTCGCAAATTGGGACTGGTGATGGCATTTCTTCTGGATTGAGTTTGTCCGACACTAATCTGGAATCTTGATTTTTTGGACATGCTGGAATCTTGATGGCTTGAGTTGATGCTTTCGCTGGTGTCGTGAAAGTGGAATAGAAGTAACTGATGGTTCCAGTCCGTATATCAACCTCGATTATCCATGTCAGCTAAATCGGTTCAAGAATTTTCTGTAGTTCAGACGTGGAGAAATAGGGAATAGACTAGGGGTTTTTATCAAGCTAATCGAAGTCATTGATTGTGTGCAAATTCTAGGCTTTTTAACAGTTATAGGATTTTGAATAGTGGAATCTTTCAAAACGTTCTGTTTCTTTAGTTGATTAAAGAAAGAAGAAAAATAATTTACTTTTCTTCCATTCTTGTCTTCCTCATATTCTTCTTGATTTTTGTAATTATTTCAACTTTTTCCCCCAATTTTTCTTATTTTAAGATTGCTGTTTAATTCATATTGGGTTTATGTAAAGTTTTTTCATGCTCTATTGACAAAAGTTTTCGATAAGTACTTTCAACTCGGCTTGTAAAACTTTTTAAACGAAGTTGCCACGAACAAACCATGATTAAGAAGTGGATTGCAATTTATCCAATAACTCATTGGAGAAGAAATAGCTTAAAAGTGGCAAAATTGTGGGTTGTCAAATTCTTGTGTTTAGTAACATTGTTAGCTTGATGCTCATTCTTCGAGTATTGTTCTGTAAAATCACATTAAGAATTAACATTCGTTTATTTGCGTATTATAATTTGAAGGGATTATCTAAGGTTTCATGATCATATAGGATGTCACAAATTATATACTCGATGGATCGGGTATAGTAAGATACAATTCATGATGTGATCAAAATTATGTCGTTCACAATCGATTCATAAAGTTGGATGCTTTATGTTGATAAGATTGTATTGTTCTTATTAAAATTTGTCTGGATCTTGAAATATGAACAATAATGTATTTAGATGCACATTGAATGGGACCGCGTAGATGATTCATTTGTGACCGTTCGAAATGAGACTCTACTTGATTATCAAACAGGTCATTTAAATCCTACGTGAGTAATGTACCTTTGATTGCTAGTTCAAGTTCTTTGAAGTACCAATGAGTGAAGTTTTAAATAAAAGATTGATCTCGATACTTTGGGAATCGAGTCGAAACAATTAGAGATCATATACTTACAATAATGGAATACATTAATCATTGAGATGAGACGATCGTTACTCTGAGGTATTTTCCTACAAATTGAATCTAAACTCAGTAGTTCGACGATGAGATCGTTGAACTTTACATTATGATTTGATTACAATAATTTGCCGTATGAAAATGAGACTTAGAGGGTAATACATGTTAAAGGACAAAACGATCATTTTGTCAGTTTCAACATATTGACGGTCAAATGGGGGTTCACTTTTGGAACGATAATCAGAGAATATTGTAATTGGATCATAATTTGCTTCTATAACTATTACTCGACTCGATAGTGTAATCTTTATTTTTTGGTAGAATAAATCGAGATTAATAGATGTATCTCAATTGGTCAAGAGTTAACCCAATTGGAAACATCTATTGGAGTTTGGGTCATGTGAGTTCAGTTAGGTCCCTCTCTTGGCTCCAATAAAATGTCTGTGACTTAATTGATCTACTACAATAAAGTCTAAAGAAATTTGTGCAATTTTCAAACTCTAATAGGCATTATAAAAATGCACTTTATTGACATATTTTATATGAGAATTAGGGTTAGCTACTTTTCACTTTCTTGAAAAGGAAATGCTCTTAGTCGATAACAAGGAAGAAGATCTAAGGGAGGAAGCAATTGGTTAGGCCATTAAAAACTTCTTCAAAAGGTTATCATCTCCCATTTTTATGTGTGAGGATTTTTATAATCAAATGATCTCAAGATTACTAGAATCCTTATTTATATGTTTTAATCTTCAAAGGAAAATTAATTTCCTATCGTGATGATTAAAATCCATTAACCAACAAATAGTATCCGAGCCACGGTTATTGTAAGTCTTGAGTAGGATTAAAATTTTTTAAAATCCTAGTGTAATATGCATTTTAGTTGGGTGGTGTTAGGTTATTTGATTTTGACATGTTTATGCTTTAAATATGTTTAAAGTTATTGTTGATACATTCATAATCACTTTTGGCCCTAGAATTTGTTTTTACTTTCTATTGTAACTCATTTGTTATAGTTATTCTCTAGAAATATTGTAAGCCATAAGGAACTAAGATTTTTGTATTTTTTCTTCATTTTCACACTTGTATTTTGAGGAAGAAATGTAATTTTTGTTGCTATATTTTCAATGAAGAGGAAGGAAGTACAAAATGCAAGAAATACTCAAGAAACACCTAGACCGGAGCAATGGCAGCCGCCGCGACTGCACACTGGTCGTAACTGCTGTGCAGCAGCTGCAATAGCTTGCTGCTGTTGCACAAAGGCAACAGCGGGCTGCTAGGACACGTAGCAGCTGGAGCTGCTGCTGCTAGGGTCGCCTTGTCAGCGACAGTGCGGCGATCCCTTTCGGGGTCGGTGGAGATTGCGCCATCGCTGGAGTTGTGTGTGCTTTGGTGTTGTGTGTGTTTTCTTGCTAGGGTTTGAAAACTAGGGTAATTTGGATTTTTTGGACCTCTCTTTGATACTTAACCAATGTTGTTGGATAATGACCTTGTTGGTTTTAAGATTTGGGCCTAAAAATTAAATTAACTATATTTTGATGTTATATGAGGTGGACTACAAAGAAGATTGAAGAATTGGGCCGGGATATGGTCCAATGTAATTCTTTTTATCCATGTTGTAATTTAAATTCTTATGATAAGCCATTCGTGATTATTATTCATTTAATTATTGCTTTTACCGCTTTATGGATGGATGGATGTTTACTTATTATTGCATGTCATGTAGATTAAATGAAACACCACCCGGTGCACTAAAATCATATGCATTTACATTTACATATTTTTTTTATCACTCTAAATTAATTAGAGGTGGTTGAAAAATATTTTATATAATTAGTGTCATTATAATTGTTTATATTTGGCGGACTAATTAAGTGGAAATTCAACGGTGTAAAATAATAAGTGGGAGAGGGTTTATATGCATGTATAAACTTACGGCCTCCTCTGTCATCCAATTTGTTATTAAAATACGTATATTTAGTATCGAATTATATCGGTCTCGCTATAAGAAAACTATGTTATTTTAGAATAACTGAAATTGGATCTAGTAATAGAATTTCTTTAAAAATAAAATAATGGATGATAATCCTATAGACGACATCTTATATATTTCAGATATTTTTTAAAATTATTGACGGAGGTTATTACACTTATATATGAATATTTTTGGAGGACTTCATATAGAAGATTTCAACAAAATTATCCATATTCCAAATAATAATCAATCCTCATTTTCTTGTGGCATGAGATGCCTAACTCAATAAAATGAGTGGGAAGGTTTCAACCTTGCCAACAACTATATTGACCTCCTAGAGAGGGCGTGTTAAAGGTTGTAAGGGTTTAAGGTTTTTGATTATAAATATAGTTTTGAGTCTATATTTGCATATTCATATACATGTATCATACAAAGATTATTGATCATTTTATTAATACGCGAATCGTTAATTTTACAGAAAAAATGTCGCTTAACCCATTATCAGTAATACTTAACAAAAATCAACTTATGGGAGAAAACTACGTTGATTGGAAAAGGAATCTTAATATTATTCTTACAGTTGAAAAACACAAATTTGTGCTGGATGAAATTTGTTCTGAAATCTCTAAAGATGGCTCCACAGAATCTCAGAAGGCTGCATATGAAAAGTGGCATCATTCTGATGATATGGCCCGTTGTTACATTTTGACATCCATGTCAAATGTATTATAACAGAAATATTAGAATATGAAAACTGCTTTTGACATAATAAAAAGTCTTTACGAGATGTTTGGACATCAAAGCCAACAAGCTAGGCAAACCTCCATTAGGGCAATCATGAACACACGCATGAAATTGGGTGCATATGTTAACCATGATTGGTCACTTCAATGCTGCGGAGGTTTTAGGAGCCAACATTGATTCCGAGACGCAGATTGACATGATCCTTGAGACTCTTCTGGAGATATTCTCACAATTTATAGTTGATTATAATCTACACAAGATGGACATGTCTCTGACGGAATTAATGAAAAAGCTCCAAAATGCTGAATATGTTCTAAAGGCCAGAAGTGGAAGTGCTTTGACTGTTACAGCCGGACCCTCTCATTCTAAGCCTTCTGGTGGCAAAGGAGGAAAAAAGATGAAGAGGCCAAACAAAAAGCCAGATAGCAAGTCAAAGGGGAAGAAAACTACTGCCGATCGGAAACCAAAGGGAAAGTGTTTTATTTGTGGACAAAAAAGTCATTGGAAGAGGAATTGCTCGGATTACCTAGCTAAGGGGAAGCAAGGTAAAGGCAATAATGCCCTATTCATTGAGTCATGCTTAGTTAGATTCTAGAGCCACTAATCATGTTTGCAAGTCTTTGTAGGGGTTCCAGAAAACCAAACATCTCAGTGAAGGGGAGTACAGTCTTAGAGTTGGCACAGGAGCAGTAGTTTTGTCAAAGCTGTTGGCACTTTTGCTTTATGTTTTGAGGATCGTAGGCATTTGTTATTAGATGACTGTTATTATGTTTCCGAACTTACACGAAACTTGGTTTTCGTTGCACTTTTATATCATGTTGGTTATTCGGTATTTTTTTACCTGTTCTACGGTGGTTATTAAGTTGAATAATTCTGTTATATGTTCGGGTCACATGATTAATAGTCTTTATGTCTTAAGTCTTTTCATTGACTCTATACATAACACTACTACTACTAAGAAAAGAAATAGGTCGTCTAGTACTAATGAAACTCTCTTATGACATCTTAGATTGTGTCATATCAATCTAAATAGGATTCAAAGATTGGTAGGGTGGTCCTTTAAATGAGTTAGAGGTGAAATTTATACTAACATGTGAATCTTGTATAGAAGGAAAGATGACCAAGAGGCCCTTTAAGGCTAAGGGACTAAGAGCTAAAGATGTTTTGGAATTAGTACATTCCGATGTTTGTGGACCTATTAGTACTCGGGCTAGAGGAGGATACGAGTACTTCATCACCTTCACAGATGATTACTCTAAATTTGGATACATATACCTTATGTCTTACAAATCCGAAGCTTTGGAGAAATTCAAGGAATTTTGGACGGAAGTTGAGAAACAATTAGGTAAGAGTATCAAGGCCCTTCAATCCAATCGAGGTGGCGAGTATCTATGCCAAGAGTTTAAGGTCTATTTATCGGATAATGAGATATTATCCCAATTGAGTGCACCAAGAACTCCCCAACAAAATGGTGTCTTGGAAAGAAG